TAGACTATCACAGATATGTATTTAAAACTAGTAATTTAATCTAAAATACTTTAACTATAGAGGAAAATACAATATAAAAACAGGCTATAGATCGCCAACTTCGTACCCTTTTCGAGAATACACGACGTCGTCACTCATTTGCAATGTTATAAGTTCTGAAGTTTTTTCATCATTACTTTGCCTTTTACACCAACGGATTATTTTCCAGCTGATTACCCCGTCACCCATTTCACCGCACTTTCTTTTGATTCCCAAGATTAATTGCCTCACAAACGTGACGTGTAAAATGTTTTTTTGTTTTTTTCATTTTTCGCTCAAAATTATATCAATAAATTGTCAATATATGTATGCCAATTCTGTGTATATTCAATAATAGATACAATGGTGTGGGGCACATTTCATTATGTCTACCACCGAGTATGTTAGTTTAAGAAGTAGTCTAGCTGGACCCCCAGAGGACGCTGTCTCACATTGCCTGCCATTGCCCGACCGTTGTAAGGACGCCTCGAGACACGTCCACAAGTTTCCAGAAAGTAAAGTTGATCTGCAACAATCTGAGAACATAATTGGAGACCATTTGCTGTTCCTCCAGATTCTACGTTCCAAACACTCTGGGTCAAAGTCTAAATGTCCCTATGATATGTTTGACGTACGGGACATCTTTACTCACGACATAATATGATACCTTTTACTTGATCGTATTTAATAACATTTGATAATACGATTGATCGTATTTGATAATACGATCTTATCAAGAAAAGTGTACTGAGCCCCATTTTCTGGTATTTCATTATCCTCGCCCCTTTATTTCAGTCAATACTCATTTAACCCCCTACAGTGTATATTCCATCCTTAATCGATAATTAACAATCATTTAACTATTTGAAATTTTACAACGACAGAGAAACATAAATATCCAAGGGCATATATTCATCAGTTCTATATATTTTGTAAAATTAATGTGACTGTTCGGTCATTGAAGAAGTACACTATTCCAAAAAAGAAACGCATATGCGTTTTCAGCAGTTCATTTCGATATATCTTGACAGCAATCGTCATTAAGAAATACCTATGCTTGTATCCCGCGAATCGTGTCGAGGTGTTGTGTATTGCGCACAAGCGCAAACCCAAAATGTCATAAAAATGAAAACTATACATGAAAAGTGCATGCAGTAAATGCACGTGCAATGTGTCGGAAACATCGACAAAATACAAACCAAATTCACCATTTCATTATGTAAACGAAGATATAATATGCCAAGATTGAATGCTACTGACCGAAATCATGCCATTAGACGTTTGAAAGCAGGGTAGTTCCAGACTGCCGTTACAGAACACAACCACAACACCCATATCTCTCGATTATGGCATCGATATACCAGCTTCAATTCGACCCAAGATCGTCCCATCAATGGATGACCAAGAGTGATCACTCCTGCTCAAGACTAATTCATCCGGTTGTTTCACCTACGTCACCGATTTGCTACATCAACGAACTCTGGAAGACAGGTGCCTGGTTTTCTGAATATCCGAACAAACCATTAGAAATCATCTGAGAGAAGTGGGAATTCGAGCATATGGACCCAAGTTGCACCTGTCCTGACACGACTACACCGACAACGACGTGTCCAGTGGTGCTACAGGGTACAGGCATGGAACCTGGGTAACGCATGGAATGCTTTTGGTTCAGCGATGAATCGCGTTTCCTCCTGCAACTACTTGATGGGAGACAACGTGTCTATCGACGTTAACACGAACATTTTGCGCCGAACTGCGTTCGACAGGTGGACAGATTTGGTGGAGAAAACGTCATGGTGGGTGGGTGTGATGGGGGGACATGTCCTACACGGGTAGATGATCTAGTGGTGGTTCAAGGCAATCTTACAGCAAATAGCTACATCGACCAAATCCTGCGACCTCGCCTCCTCCCACTTTTTAGCCGCCAGAGGGAGCTGTTTCAACACGACAACCTCGACCGCACACAGCTCGTGTAACAGGTGCCTATCTCGCCAATGCAAACGTCAATGTCCTTCCCTGGCCTTCCAAATGGAACATCTATAGGACGAACTTGATCGACGCCTCTCCGTAAAGTCACCATCGTCCTCAGACACTTGCAGACGACTTGTGCAATCCCTTCCAAGGAGGTGTCGTACAGTGAAGGCTCCAAGGGGTGGTGTGATCAGGCACTGACTTGAACGCTCCCTTGTGTCCACACATGTGCAGTGAGTGAACTGAATTAATGCTGACAATGACAACAATACATACGTTCCTTCATCTATGTTCAAGCTTAATCAACTTACGTACACATAAATACGTTTATTCCATTTCTTTACTTTCAGCCTGTGCGCTTTTGTTGTTGTTGTTTTTTTTATGAGTGTACTTAAATAATCACAGACACTAAGACACTGACGTCAACACTACTAGAACACAAACACGTGATTATAACCTTTATCGTGTATTACAATAAACGTTGTGATTGTGTGGTCATCGTCCACAGGTCGGCAAATGAAACTGTAAAATATTCAAAAAATATGTTATATCGATATAATAGTATCTACTTTATTTTGTCTCCATTCAACTATAAGCCAGTAAATATACCACCGCGTACGAAGTAACGGGGTATTTAGCGTTCATTCTGTCCGTCCTTCCATCTTTCCGTCCCGAAACCTTGTCCGGAGCATATCTCCGGATAAAGTGTTGTGAGCTGCTGATCCTTGTCACGTTATATATGTCAATATCAGTCATTTACATGTCCCAACGTGGGAAGCGGGGGTATGTGAACTGTGCTCATTTCTACACTTGTTTTAGATCTGTTTGAAATATCTTTCAATATATGTGGCTTCCTACCAACCGTCTACATCTTCATCTCAGGACCCTGGCCTCCTTTACATGGACCCGGCCGCGTCATATCAAAAGACGTTAAAATATGGTACTTGTTGGTCCCTGCCTGGCGATCGGCATTAATGGGTACAACACGGACTGGTCGGCTCGGAGTCACTATAATGTGTCTGAGTGGGGTATTCATGCTTCACTGCGGCATGGTATCTCAGTGGGCTAGCACTATAAAACCAGCTTAAGTCTGGGCTAGTACAAGCAGCCGCACATACACATACACACACATGTACGTCGTCATATGAGCGAAATATTGTCAAGCACGACGTTAAACCCAATTTCACCTCACCTCACCTTTACATGGAGACTGCGCCGCCTAGTCGAACCGACCAAGAACATTTCAGAGAATGTGACAACTCCACAGCTCTACGGCATTCGGTATTGCCCATACTGCCAGAAGTTCTAGCGCAAAACCGTATACTCCACTTCCAACAAGTTTGTCACCAATATCAAGGCAATAAGGCATGCCATGCCCAATATCATGGACTGCGCCAAATTTTTGCCATGCCCAATTTGCCATCATGGCAATGATTTGCCAAAAATTCCGCAATGCCCATGCAATGCCCAATATCATGGCAATGTCACCAAATTTGCCATGCCCAATATCAAGGCAATGTCGCCCAATCCTGGCGACAACTCCATGCCCAATATTGGCAATGTCACCAAACTTGCAATATCGGCATCACCGGTATTGCCCATACCAAAGTTGCAATGCCAGAAGTTCTAGCAGCAAAACCGTTTACTCTCAAAATGTTAGTCACCAAATTTGCGATGCCCAATATCATGGCAATGTCATGCCCAAAAACGGCGCATATCATTACCATTTATGTCAAAAGGTACGAGGAATGCAATGACATCAATAAGTTCATGGGTTTCATAAATAATGAACAAATTCAGGTTTCTAGGCTCAGCATACACCAGAGGATTCAATAATTGTCAAATTCCATGATCCATGGTGGGTCCTTTGTCATCAGTGCCTTTGTTTGCTTGCCTGAAAAACTGTGGAACAGTTTGTTTTGTTTTATGAAAGAAAGAGTCTTTCTTGCCTCACATGCGTGTCTCTAATTCTGAACACTATCACAAACAAGAGAGTGCCACATACCACACATCCCATTTGCAAAAATATACGCTTGGATTTCCTTTCCTTTTACGATGGGGCGGTGGGGTACGGGTTAAGGCATTCGCTCGTCACACTGAAGAACCGGGTTTGATTCCCCACATGGGCATAATGTGTGAAGCCCTTTTCCTGTGTTCCCCGCCGTGATATTGCTGAAATATTGCTTAAAGCGGCGTAAACCAAACTCACTCACTCACTCCTTTCACGGTTGAGGTGAGGTGAGGTGAAATTGGGTTTAACGTCGTGCTTGAGAATATTTCGCTCATATGACGACGTGCATGCGTGTATGTGTATGTGCGGCTGCTTGTACTAGCCCAGACTGAAGCTGGTTTTATAGTGCTAGCCCACTAAGATACCATGCCGCAGCTAAGCATGAATACCCCACTCAGATACATTATAGTGACTCCGAGCCGACCAGTCCTTGCTGTACCAATTAATGCCGATCGCCAGGCAGGGACCAACAAGTACGAACCCGTGACCTTACGCTCTCCTGGCGGACGCTCTAACCACTACACCACTGAGGCTTTCTTTCACGGTTGACCCTTGAAGATCCGGGTTAGAATTGATCTTCAGTAACCCATGCTTGTCATAAGAGGCGACTAACGGGTCGGCTGTCAGGTACACTGACTTGGCTGAAACATGTCATCGGTTCCCAATTGCGTAGATCGATGTTCATGCTGTTGGTCACTGGATTGTCTGGTCCAGAGTCGATTATTTACAGACGGCCGCCATATACCTAGAATAGTGCAGCGTTAAACTAAACTCACTCACTCACTCGCTCACGTGTAGGAAAAAAAGAGACATTTTAATTCCTTAAGCCCTACAGCTACCTCACTCACTCCTTTGACGGATACATGATGTCAAAGCCAAGGATGTCCATTGCATCATAGATTTAACTTACTCCTGGGTACGTTGCTGTCAATAGTTTAATGTGTTTGCACGTCCATAGATCGCAAAGTAATTCTTAGGCGGCGTATTATGTCATTCACAGATGAACAACCCTTGTTTTCACGGAGGAGACTATGACGTTTCAAGCAGCACCTGCATCTGTTACGGTGGCTACGTTGGTGACTATTGCGAAAGACTCATGCAAGGTACGTCTAGGGTCAAGTCAAACTGAGGACTGTGTTCCGCTGCCTTATGCGCTGTGAAAACAGTAGTAGTAGTAGCAATGACAGGTGGAGCAGTATTTTAAGTATACTAACACCATTCACTTTGTATTTTGCAGACTGCACTGAGGGGAATCTCTACAGTTACTATGTCAACCAAAACGGTAGCTTCCTTTGCAACCCGAACAGTGCCCCTGAGCCGATCAAGGTCCACTGTGACATGACTTATGGGGGAAGGACGCTACTCATGACCCAGACTTCAGGAACAGAGAACTTCACCAGAACGTGGGAAGAGTACAAAACAGGTTTCGGCAGTCTGTCAGGTGACCATTGGCTGGGCAATGACAATATACATTACATAACTAGTAGTAGATTACACTACCTTGTTGCTGAACTTTGGACACCCGGCATTGACATCTTTAATATAATCGCACAACGGTTCTACCGTGACTTTCTTGTTGGGCCGGAAGTAGACGACTATAAGATGACTTTTTCCTCCAGTTTTCCTAACCCAGACTGGGTGCAGCTTCCAGCAGAATGTCTTGTGAGCGCCACGCCCTTCAGTACCCTAGACGTGGACCACTCATCCGGAGCAGTTGGGTTGACACGGTCTGGCTTCTGGCATGCCAACACTCCAGAGTGTAATCCAACCGGACAGCTGAAACCAACTGACATATCATGGGGAGGGGACAAAACTGACGTGTTCTGGCAGGATGGTATTGATGGCGACGCTGTCAACAAAATCCTTCTCTTTGTCCTCAGTGGTGTTCCGTGATCTGCTTACAGGCTACTCTCCTACCTGCATTGATACTTTCATTCTAGTCTTCGTGAATTCATGTTTATATTCTTGGCAAGTGCATTCAAAATATTTAATCGTTCTTTAAAGCGTTCACCCGTGTGCAAACTTAAATGTATTTCGGACTTTAAAACAAAATGGTTATGCCTCTTTTAGACGACTAAATTTCAAATTAACATAATGAGTTTCTCTCTTCTCCACCGGGGCGGTGGGGTAGCCTAATGGTTAAAGCGTTGGCTCGTCACGCCGAAGACCCGTGTTCGAATCCCCACATGGGTACAATGTGTGAAGCCCATTTCTGATGTCCCTCGCCGTGATGTTGCTGGAATATTTCTAAAAGCGGCGTAAAATTAAACTCAGTCTGTCAGTCTCTTCTGTACCCTTACCTCTCACTTTCCCCATCCTCTTTCTTTTTTTTCTCTTCTTTTTTTCAAGTTCTTAATTACGGCATGAATAATTCATCAACTGTAGCATGCGCCATGTTATCTGTATTACCTTGATGAAATGTAAAATACCATGTACCGTTATTAGTAATAAAAAAATAAATAATAAAATGGTAAGCAAAAAAAAAAAGAAAATCATAAAACAAATTAAAAAATCCCTGGTTATAATGATTCCCATGAGTTAGTACATAGAAATCACTCAACTCCAGATGATTTTGCTTCAACGTTACATAAGCCGGAGTATGTGCCATTGCGTCATAACTCTGTGTCCCAACCACCACTCTGATCTGCACTCAACTGTGAACACGCCATTGTGAAACAGTGAGTGAGTTAAAATTTATCGTCACATCGGCAATATTTCAGCCATATCGTGACGAGAACAATTAATTGTTATACATAGTAAATAATGGTAAAGTATAAAAACATGTCAACGAAGGACAGTAAAATAACTAGATTATCACAGATATGAATTTAAAACTAGTAATTAAATCTAAAACGGTCTAACCACAGATGACAATACAATATAAAAACAGGCTATAGATTGCCAACAACTGAAGGTAGGTCACCATATTTGGGACCCATTGTGAAACAATAACTACCACTCTTAATCTTTCCAATTTGATTTCACATGTGAGTACGTGAACGTAAATATCTACACCTCTGTGACTCCTCCACTCTGCATGGTCTGACCCGTGAAGATCCGGGTTAGAATTGGTCTTCAGTAACCCATGCTTGTTATAAGAGTCAGGCTCGCTGACTTGGTTAACACATGCCATCGTATCCGAATTGTGTAGATGGATGCTCATGATGTTGCTCTCACTGGATTGTCTGATCCAGACTCGATTATTTGCATACAGCCGGCATGTAGCTGGGACAGTGCTGAGTGCGGAGTGAAACAACAAACCACCATCCAACCAACATACATGTCTGTACATAAGACGTATCTTGAAAACTGAGGGATGTCTGCAGGTATGGATACTTGCAAGTGGTGTCTAGTATGCTTTTGCCTATGATTATGTATTGATTCGTAAATCCAGACGAACATAAAAATATTTTGCACCAAACAAACAGCAATGTAATTGGGTGACGTCTACCTTAGAATACGGGTGACAGGTTTATTTGATTCAAGATGACATATGTATATAAACATAATGAATTCCAACCGCATGTTTTACACTATATAGTATAGATCCTACCACCGCAAGCACGATTTAATATGCGTTGTCAAGCATGACTGATGTGAAATGCGTGGTACACAAACCGTCTTTGATGTCAAAATAAACGTAAAAAATGTCTCACAGTATCTTCATTCTGTTTGTCTTTGTGAGAACACGATGGATGTATTGAAGGATGGGCGCCATATCTGAAGTGGTTTTATGCTTGAGTTGTGTTGAAACGCCACTTAACATTATATATTCAGACGTTTGAAAATAACATGCATTCGGCTTGGTGAAATGGGTGATTGCATTAATCATACTTTATATCAATCAGTATCTGTTTCGACAACTTCGATTTAGATGCTTTTGTATTCCCGCTCTTACTATTCGAGATGGTGCACGTAAGCAAATGACATTGCATGCATCAAGAAAACGTTTAAATGTGGAAATACAAAACGCTTTCTCGTTGCAGCCTTTACATCTACACAGTTATGCATTATTTGTTGCCAATACACGGGAAAATGCCCACCAAAACAGCCGTCATCAATCGGATATTGAAAGAGCAAGTCGGGGAAAGAATGCAATACCCTCCTTCTGAACCAGCTGCAAGGAATATTGTATTGAGAATTGTATTGTTATCGATAAAGTCTGTTCAATATTGTACTTCCCAACTTCTAAAATGCCACTCAAAGAAGACATTGTTTTGAGAGACCTTGGATCCTCATTACCCAGTACAAGTAGAATGACCTGAAGGGGTATGATCGGGATAGTGCAATGCGACGTCACCAGCACTGTACACCAAGCATCAGCTATACCTGGTCTTTACTACAGTGTCAGTGAATGCATTGTCATTTGCATGTGTGTAACCGACAGGTTGGAATGACAAACATGAGATAAGACTGATATAAAGTCTATACGAATTCTCATCATGTGTAAGGTTTAACTGCTTAGAAAACTCTGATATGTTCTGCAGATATGGAACAACACGAATCTGTCTCCATTGAGTAAACAACACAGGTGCTTCAGGGTCTAAAAGGTTTGGCAATGAAACATCATTTCCGTTTCTTTATGGTTGTTCAGTGGCCTATCCTTGAACACTCGATATTCTAATCACTTGGATAAGTGTACATAAGTCCATTAAGCTTGAGCATAGATGAAAGAAATTTGACACACGGATGAACATATGTCATAGGCGAATCCATGTGGGGGTGGGGGGTTTGCTGGGATGCGCACCTCTCCTTTTGTCCTGAAAGTTTATCATATGACTATTCAAACCCTCGTGAAAATGAAGTGTGCACCCCACCCCCACCCCAGCCCCTTCTCAAGAGTGTGCACCCCTTTCACAAAAAGCTGTATCCGCCCCTGTATGTGTTGTTGTCACTGTCAGCATTAACTCAGTTCACTCACTGAACATGTGGACACAAGGCGGCGTTCAGGTCAGTACCTGGTGACACCACCTCTTGCACCTCTTAATGAATTCTCCTGCAACACGATGGCAAGCTCTGCAAGTGTCTGTGGACGATGGTGACCGTTACGGACGCGTCGATCAAGTACGTCCCATAGATGCTCGATCGGGTTCAGATCAGGCGACTTGGATGGCCAGGAGGGGCATTGACGTTTCCACTGGCGAGATAGGTACCTCGTTACACGATCTGTGTTGAAACCGCTCCCACTGGCGGTTATAAAAGTGGGAGTAGGTGTGGTCGCAGCAGTTCATTGATGTAGCGATTTGCTGTAAGATTGCCTTGAACCTCCACTAGCTCTGATGTACTCGTGTACGATCTACCATGCCGAAGACCCGTGTTCGATTCCCCACATGGGTACAATGTGTGAAGCCCATTTCTGGTGTCCCTCGCCATGATATTGCTGGAATATTGCTAAAAGCGGCATAAAACCACACCTCACTCACTCACCTCTACCATGACGCTTCCACCAAATCTGTCCACCTGTCGTACGCAGTTCGTTGCAAAACGTTCGTGTCGACGTCGATAGACACGTTGTCTCCGATCCCGTCGTTGCAGAGGAGCCAGTGTAGCCAGTGTAGCCAGTTCCCAGGTTCCATGCCTGTACCTTGTTGCACCACTGGACTCGTCGTTGTTTGTGAATCGTGTAAGGACAGGTCCAGTTTGGTCGATATACTCGAATTCCCCACTCTGAGACGATTTCTGTTGGTTTGGTCGGAAATTCTTCGACGTCCAGGCACCTGTCCTTGAGTTTCCGTTGCCCGTGGGCTGATTTGGTAGTCGAGGGCTGATATGTCGAAAGGGAAACTTTTTTATCATATACCACATCAAGGGATGTAACTCTAAAATAAACTAGGTTCCGTCTATTGACGTTTCCAGCGTTTGCGTGTATTCATTCCGTACTGATTTAGAAGCCGCGCAATAAGTCAGATATGGATGATCAGCCCTAGAGCTATGACTGATATGCATTTTCGTCCCGGGTGGTCAATATGGACATATGCCGACAGCCAGTAATGTATGTGCAAAATGGTCCATATTATTCATAGGTATATGATAACATGGTAATAATCGTCTCCCTGCACCAATGAAAACACAGGTTAGGTAAATTTGGAATGTCCTTGTTTGAATCTTGTTGACTTCTCACTTGGTCGTAAAGCCTTGTGTCGTTAAGATATCATGTAGTGCAAGAAATGCAAGAATTGCAAGATTGCAACAGTACAAAGTCGACAGGATAGGGATCTGGAAAGAAAAGCATAACCCACAACCTTGTGTCAGCATTTGCTATGAGTATTTACAACACCAGTTTGATAGCTACTGTAATAGGGATTCGTCCTTATGCGGTGGGACATGTCATCGATAGGACATATCATACTGAGGAACGTACAATGACTGCCTATAAATAGATGTGACTGACATGAGTTGACTTTTGTTCGAAACCTCATTATGGTCCCCTCATGATTGGTAGTAAAGTTTGGTGGAGTTTAATAAATTAAAATAAAATAAACGAAATGTAAAGGTGCGCTCTCGTAAAATCTCTGATTCTGAAACGTTTCTTTAAAATGACCAGGTACAAAACAAAAAAAACGCAGGTATTGGCTCGTCAGATATGACTGCAATGCCTTCATAGATGTCATCACCACCATCATATATACGAATCACAAGACAAAAGATATTATTCAAGCTGTCCCCTAAGTGCTGCCCTTTCGTGTAGGTCATCAAACACACAAGCTGCTTTTGTGGAAACAAAATCGGTTATCGTACGATCGGGGTGCTTGTTGTGTATTCCGAGAACTCTATGACAACAACAGGGTCATAGTCTGGCAATAAACAGCATCGATGGTATCACTCTGTAATCAGTCCGATTCTGTGTATTGCATTATATTTCCCTCACAAAACTATCGGAGAGCCGAAGTAGA